CCAAGTGTCATAGTCACAGGATCATAACAATGGGCACTGTCCAAATGAGTTACCATAAAACAGTGGGAAACCTACAGAAATATGACCTTGTGTGTCGTGAGTGGCTGTTGTGAAATGTTTCTCTTCAGCCAGGCAGTGGTGGCACAGGCCGTTAATTCCAGCACTGGGGAGGCAGAGGCAGGTGAATCTCTTAAAGTTCGAGGTCAGCCTGGTCTACAAAGTGAGTCCCAGGACAGCCAGGGCTACACACAAAAACCCATCAGAACAACAACAACAACAACAAAAAAGTTCCTCTTCACAGCCTGCATGAACAGGTTACATGTTTCAAACTGGAAGACCAAACTGATCCATCCCTGCTCAACAGCTAGAAGGCTGTCAGCAAAATTCACTGTCTGTGGACTGTGGAATGGCTCAGTGGATAAAGCCATGGGCACCCAACCATGAGCACTCTGGTTCAACTCCTAGTACCCACATAAATTCTAGTGGTAGTGGCAGTCACCTGTAATCCCAGTGCTCTAAAGGAAGGGACAGGTGTTCTCCAGAGCACACTGACTAGACACACTAGCAGTATCAAACACACTGAAAGACAGGTGTACCACAGAGTTTCTGCAAAATATAGTGCCATCAGCAGCGGGGAGATGGGAGAGTGAAGGCCTTGCTTGATATACTGGATTCTTACACTGAGGCATTGAGGGGTTTTTTTTGGGAGGGGGGCGTTCCAAGGCAGGGTTTCTCTGTGGGTTTGGAGGCTGTCCTGGAACTAGCTCTTGTAGACCAGGCTGGTCTCAAAGTCACAGAGCCCCGCCTGCCTCTGCCTCCCAAGTGCTGGGACTAAAGGCGTGCATCACCACCACCAGGCCGAGGCATTGAGTTTTTAAGATTTATTTATTTTTATTTTATGTGCATGAGTATTTTCTCTGCATGCATGTCAATGCAACATGTGCATATGTGGTACTCATGAGTTACAGACAGGTGTGAGCCACCACATGGGAACCAAACTTGGGTCCTTTGCAGGAGCAGCTGGTGCTTTTATCTGCTGAACCTTCTCTCCAGCCCCCGAGTATTTGTCATTTTAATAATTAAAAGTTAAGTATTTAAAATGTATTTAAGGCTGACAAGATGGCTCCCACAAGTTGTTCTCTGACCTACACACACACACACACACACACACACAGAGAGAGAGAGAGAGAGAGAGACAGAGAGACAGAGAGACAGAGAGTAAATATAAAAATGTAAGTGTATTTAAACCTTCACTGCACATAAGGCTATTCAGACCATATAATTGTCCTGTTGAGAACTCTTGGGTAGGGTTATTGTAGCTTACTGGTAGAGGGATGGCCTAGCAAGTATGAAAACACAGGATACAACTCATACTCCTCTGTGGCCTTCAAGCCTTTTTTTGATCGGCTTCTTGATGGTCACCTTGGCTTAATTTTGTCTCCTGGTGATCTGTAGCCCCGTGCCCTCTGCTGAGGGCTTTCTGCTCTTGAATTTGCCATTCTTTGTCCCTGTCTACCTCACATGCGTGATCCCTTCTCTTCACTCAGATGTCAACTCAGCCATTACCCTCTCAAAGGCTTCCCTGATCATTCATGTGATCATTCATGATGAGTAGAGGAGGAGACATGTAAATTGAGTGGCAAGTAGTTGGAAGAATGGATGTTGGTAGGGTGGGTAGATGAGAGGATGAGCAGATGGGTGGGTGTGTAGGTAGAAGGGTAAATGCATGGGTGCATGGGTGGATGGATGGGTGAATGGGTGAAAGATGGATGGCTGTCATCCAAGTCAGTAAACAGAGACCTAGGTCACAGAGACCTCTGTCCTCCCAATTCCCTAGCTCAGTAGTTCTCAATCTGTGGGTTGTGACCCCTTTGGGGGTCAAATATCAGATATCATGTATTTCAGATACTACAATTCCCAACTGTAACAAAATTACAGTTATGAAGTAGCAACAAAATAATTTTACGGTTGAGGGTCACCATAACACGAGGAACTGTATTAAAAGTCACAGCATTAGGAAGGCTGAGAACCACTGAGTGCCTACAGCTTGTATGGGGTACAATCATGCTAACAATATGTACTGAGACTCCCCCTGTCCTGTTCTCAGCATAGTACACACAACTTCATAGAGGACACATGTCACCTCATTGGCCTGATACAATTCTGAGGTGCTTCCATGATCTCAGATTGACAGAGAGGTTCTGTTGCTTGTCTCAAAGTGACACAGCTGTTGAGAAAGTGGAGTCAAGACTGAAGCCAGGTTCACCCCAAAGTCTTTCCACCAAGCATCACTTTCTTAAAACATGGATACAGAAGACAGGCAGAAATCAGAGGATGGACGTGAAGGACAGAAGACTTTTCTTGAGCCTTCTCTAGTAACTCCCAGTATTAGGGACAGCACAGTTACTCAGATGGGCAATGATGGCAGAGATGGGGAATGGACAGGGAACCCAGAAACACAGGGGAGTTTTCTGGGCTCTTGAAGGAATTCTGGGCTCATGCCTTAAGTAGAATTCCATGAAAACCACCAAGAGTTATTCATAGAGCCTTACCCCAGATACAAGGATCCCACTTGGGACCCTGGGCCAGAGAAACCCGGGCTTCCTGTGAGGTGCTCACCCCGTCGTCCCAGCCCCAGTCCCATGTGGTTTCTAGATATTTGGGCAACTGTGTAAAGGCAAAACTGAAGTGGCCAAACACTTGAAGGAAATACCTCCAAACCCCATGGCCTGAACATGGGAATAGGCCAAGGGGAAAGCAGCCCCTATGGGAAAGGGGCTCAGAGCCCTGTTGTGTTTGCTAGACCAGTGCCTCCAGGGGGAGCCCTCCTCAAGCCCAGAGGGACCTTGCTTGGCCCTCCAACTGCCTGCTGGAAGGGTGGATGTGGTATCCGTGTCACTCAGACTTAGTTCTTAAACTGGGTGAAAGGAACAACTTGGGATAACGTAGGATGAGAAAGAGCCTATGTCATCTGGATGTCACCCAGAGAGTGGGTATTTCTTAGAAACTTTGAATACATTTGAAGAACAAAGGAGGGTGTTTTGAAAGCCCTTCTAGGTTTGAAAGAAGCCCATGCCCTTGAGGTGGATAGGCCTCCCCTTAGGGTTCAGTTCCAGGAAGATTTAATATTGGAGGACACGTGAAGAAGGTGCTCTCAAGATATGGTGGCCATGTGAAATGCCCGAACTGTGTGACAGCCCTGGGTGTGGCTGTCAGGTGGAAGGTCTCCCTCAGCTGTGCCACTCTGCATTTCTCTGACCTTGAGTCTCCAGATGCAGCATGCAGGATCTGGAAGCCAAGATCCATTTCTGGTGGTCTGTTACCTCCTTGCCCGGGTTCCAGTCACTAAGAGTCTGATCTCTCTCCCCTTCACTTGCTGAAGAACAAGGCTGGGTTTGAGTGGACAGTTGGGGCCAGGCTTCTTCCCCACCTCCAACAGACTCAAGGTCCTTGGTGTCTGCCCAACAAGGGATGGTCAGAGACTTTCCCTTGACCCAGCATTGTTCAACCAGCGGGGAACGGGAGAGACAGCTGTATTGATTGGTGGCCCTTCTGGCATCTAGCAGAAGAGATAAAAAAAAAAAAAAAATGTTGCTAAGCCTCTTATGAACAGAATTCCTAAGCTCTTCTCAGTAATGGCAACTGAGAAAGGCCACCAGCCACACGGTAAGGTAGGTAGGCTCACTGAAGGGAGTTTTGGATAGTCAAGGCCCTCTGTCCCTTGACTTCCAAAATCAGCCTGGGCGACCTTTGTATAATAAATCATCAGCATGACAGTCATTGTGACAGTCCTGTGCCTGCCTAGGGCTGGGCTGACCGAGGTTAACAGTGAGGGAGGAGTGCACTGGGCAGACTGTAGCAGCAGGACACAATGTCGTATGGGAGGGTGTGCAGGTGGAATGTGGGTGGCTCTGTGAAAGGCTGTGTGGACCAACTGGTGACTGGAGTTCTATGTGAGCATGTGACAAGAGAGGAAGAGGTAGAACTGGTGGTCAGGAAAAAGAACCAAGCATGGGGCAGACTGTCTGGGTCAGAATCCACTAGTCAAGTCACTCAGGCTCCCGACCTATCTTCATGTATTAAAAAGTCCCCTCACCTGCACAGGTCTAAGCCAGATGGGGCCCCAGGGTTTGAGGGGAAGTGGACCAGACACCCCATCTCTAACCCAGAAATTATCTCCAGTTGATAACAGCTCACAAAGGAAAACTTAGTTTTCTTCAATGGAATCTCACTAGGCATATAAGCCACGCCTAGCAGTAGATGGCCAACACAAAACAAACTCAATTCTTTGCAGGGTTTTTGTCTCAAAGTGCTTTGTCTGACCCCCTGCGCCCCCCCCCAACACACACTTTTTTTTAAGCTTATGGTCTTCCATGTTTGTGAATGTGTTTGTCTCTATTTTGTTGTTGTTTGGTTTGGTTTTTTGAGACGGGGCTTCTTTGTGTAGCCCTGGCTGTCCTAGAACTAAGCTCTTAGCCAGGCTAGCCCTGAACTCACAGAGAGAGTGTCTCTACATTTATATGTGTTTCTTGTGCTTTTTCTTTGGATTTTTTTTTCTGTTTGTTTAATTGTTTTCTCCTATCCTGGTTTGCTTGTTTTTATTTTACTTTATTTTTAAAATGCTTATTTGCTTTCTAAAGAAAGAGAGAAAGATAAAGTGCATATTTGGATGGTGGGGAGGTAGGGAGAACCTGGGAGAGTTAGGGAAGGGGAAACCACAATCAGAACATATTGTATGAAAACAAATCTACCTTTAAAAAAAGTCCCACAGGATCAGACAAGGTAAATGAGAAAGAAATGAAATCTGCCCTTGACACAGGGAAGAGGTTCAGTGATAAGGGCTGGGACAGAAGTTGTATAATACAGGGATGAGGCAGCTGCCTTCATCTTATTCTCAGAATTCAAAGTAGCCTCAGGAGTTGTCTCTCTCTAGCCCCGGGCATGCTCATCACCCAGTCCAGGCTGTGATGAGGTACGAGTATGGTGAACACTGTACTCACCACTGTGGCTGTCTCCATCGCTGCTCATAAAGGAGTAGTAGTCTTGAGTTTGGCGTTGGTATAGTTCAGGTTCGTAAGTAACCAGCTCTTCCGATGGCTGCAGAGACAGGAAGTTATCAGAGCCTAAACAGTTGAGGACAGTCCAGCAAGATTTTCAGCTAAGTTTGAAGCCCTCAACCTTCCCTGCCTGAGGCACCTGGGAACAACCCAGCCTTTGCTTAGAATCCAGAGTGCCCAGGGATACAGGGATAAGGTGATGGTGGGAGGATCAGGAGAGTGTGTTGAGGCAGTGATGGGCCTGAGAGGTCAGAGGTCAGCAGGTCAGGGCTGAGAAGAGGGTGCAGCCCCCCTTCTCTTCTGCACCCTCACACTTACACTCATGCCTATGGGGCATGTTGCTCTTTCCCATCCACAGCCATGCACCCTTCCCCCAAATGTGCAAACACTCCCTGTGACACACTTACACACAAACCCATATGGGAGCTCGCTCTCACATGTGCACACATTCACTCTTGGGTTCCTGTCTATATCTCACACGCAGGCATTGTGCTCACCCTCTCATGAGCCCCACATGTCACACAACTCTTTCCATCCACTCTCAGGACCAGTCACACTCATAGACACACCACTGTGCGCCCTCCCTGCAGGCATACACAGAGACTGACACACACATGCTCACATAGAATTCCAGTCACCAGTTGGTCCACACAGCCTTTCACAGAGCCACCCACATTCCACCCGCACTCTCGCATGCAGCATTGTGTCTCTCTGCTACAGTCTGCCCAGCCCACTCCTCTCTCACTGTTAGCCTCTGTCAGTTCAGCCCTAGGCAGGCGCAGGACTGTTACAATGACTGTCATGCTGATGATTTACTTATACAAAGGTCACCCAGGCCAGTTTGGGGAGTCAAGGGGCAGAGGGCCTTGACTGTCCCTTCTTCCTCAGTGTCTTTGATGGAAGACTCCCTGCCTGTTACTTTCTCCTCCTCTATCTTCCTCCTCCTTGTCCTCGCCTTCCTGCCTTTCTTCCCTCCCTCCTCTATCTTCCCTCTCTTCTCCCTCTGCCTCCTCCACCTCCTTTCCCCACCCTCTGTCACTTTCTTGGGCACAGGGATATGCACACCGAGCTTTCCGGACAGTCATCCGGCTTCTCCCCACCCCCGCAGAGTATGCCCAAGGATTGCACAATAGTTACTGTGGCCGTCAGGGCTTGCTTGGTGGGGCAGTGCTGCCTTGGGAGCCCACCCACTCAAGAGACACTTGGAATGGCCTCTGGGGCTGGAGACAGGGCCTAAGGAGCTGGTATAGGAGCTCAAGGTCCTCCCCTTGCCGATTTCTGCCTGGTGTTCAGGAAGGAGAGGTCAAGGGTCAGGGAGAGTGGCTTTACTTGGGGCAGAGTGGACCCTCTCTGGGACAACTTCCATCACCCATGCTTGCCCCAGCACCTTCTCCATCCCAGGTGGGAGAAGGAGATCAAGATGGGGGGGGGGGGACAGGAAGGTCTGGCCAGCCCTGTCTACTATACTGTGAGGGAGGCTCCCTTCCCTAGGTTTCCTGGCAACACACTGGGCCTGGCCCTGTTGCAGGACATTGGCTATGTCAGGCCTGGGGTGCCTCCTAGGGCTCTAAGGTTGGGTGGGGTAGAAGAGAGATCTGCCTCTAATTCGGGAAAGCTGAGTCAGGTGGGCAGGCACTGCTCAGCCCTTCCTTGCTGTCCCAACACTTCCAAGGGCAGGAGAAAGCCAGAGGGTTGTCTTCAAGGCACTGTGACTGCCATCTGCCTAAAGCTGCCACTGTCACTGAAAATAGGAGAAACAATGGAGATTTGCCCACCTGCTGTGTCCCTGTCTTGTTCCACCCTAACCGCAGTGGAATACTCAATCTAGGTCCTCCATCGCCAATCTCAGTCTCATTCTGGTCCCAGGCCCACCCTTCACTAAGTTTCTTATTCAGCCCAGCCCTGGCCACAAATCTAGCTGCCATATTTCTGCCGTATGCTCTGCTCTTGCCCAGCCTTGGCCACAGCCCCAGATTCTCAGGTCCATGTAGGCCCAAAGCCCAAATACTTGGATCAACAGCCATGCCTCTATGCCAGGCCCCAAACTGAATGTTGGGGACCCATGAGTGACCCAGAGTTCTACCAGCCTTTGTTTCAAGAGTCCACCGGTCATGGGTTGAAACCTTTCCTGTTGCCTCCGGTGGCCCTTAGGCCAGTTCAGATCTCCATATCCATGGCCTCCCAGTAGCCGCCCTCACCGTCTTCAGCCCAGTACCCTGTCCTAGCATTTGGCCTACCACTGAGCCCCACCTATAAATAGCTGTTCAGGCCCCACCGATCACAGCCCCACCATGGGGCCAGCCGGCAACCCTCAGCCCGCCAGGGCATGCTCTAAGGGAGCCAATGGCCCCTCGCTGGGTCTCAGACCAGCAGCTCCCGGGAGGAAACACCGACTTCCCACTGATAGGGAGCCGGAGAGGAGCGGGTAAATTGGTGGGTTAGTGGGCAGATGGTCACACGTCCCAGGGCCCCAGGCTGAGCAGGTAATGAAGCCCCAGTACTCACAGGGGGGACGAGGGGAAACCCTTCCATTTTGCACGCCTGTAACATCCAGCTGAGCTCCAAGTTGGTCAGATCCCCTGCCTCGGTGGGGATCAGTGCGGATCCCCTCAGGACCAGGTGCCCCGTCGGGGGGCTGGACGGTTGTGGGTCAGACGCAGGGCTCAGGCCTGCCCCCTGAGCTACAGGAGCCCCGGGTGAGCCCCCTCCCTTGACATTGCAGGGCCAGCACAAGTTCCTGATTTTATCGAAGGGCCTGCCACTGGGAGATAGTCCCCTTGGGGTGACATCACCGCCCCAGCCCGTTTGCATAAATCTCTTGCGCTACAGGAAGTCTCTGGCCGGCTGGGGCAGGTGGTGCTCAAAGGGCTGCCCTGGGAGGCTATGGGGCCAGGCCCCCTGCCCAGAGGAAACTGGGGCTGGGAGGGAGAAAGGCTAGCACAACCACGGAAGGCCTCGGTTGGCCCAGTCGCTAGGCCTTCTAAGGTTGTCCACTATTCTTTCAGTCCAATAATACCAATTGCTTCTCAGCGGAGTCATCTCTTTGGGGTCAGAATAGTGACAGCATGGGGTCACTAATTTCTAGAGTGAATCTGGAAGGTGGAGGACTTTAATCCCAAGGCTGTCAGACTTGACTCTTCGTGTAGGCCTTGCAATCTCTGCTAGGTCTACCTAAACCACTCAGGGCCCACAGTAGACCTTGGGTCTACTAGCACCTTGTATCTCTTTTCTTGGTGCCTCAAGTGGGCTTCTCCTTCGCCTGGGAATGGCCTTGGCTTTTCATATCCTCCCCTCCCAGCTAAGTACCACAGCTGCGTCCAGATCCCTAGAGACAGTGTTCCCAGCCCAGATTTCTCAATTTCCCCAACCCTGGAATGTCGATATCCATTTAGTCTTCCTAGTTTATAATTCCTCCTTGTATGTTCATCCTTTTATCTGTTTTCCTATCCTCATCTCTTTCTGATTGTCTGTTCATCTTTCGACCCATCATACCAGCCATGCATCTACTCATCTATCTGTTCATCCAGCATCCATCTGCACATACATTCTTCCACGCACATATCCATCTCTTCACTTAACCTACGTATCCATCCATTCGTCTGCCTATCTATTTATCTCCCTGTCTATCTATCCATCTACTACCACTCCACTTCCATCCATCCATCCACCTCCCTATCCATCAGTCTGTCTACCCATCCACCCAGTCACTTATGGTATCTGTCTGTCCCATTCATCCACCCACCCACTTACTATCACTGATCTGTCTACCCACCAGTCTACCTATCTATCCATCCATGCATGCATCTTCCAAATGTCAAGTGAACTCCAAACTCTATGCTGAATCCCAGGAACATAAAAAGGTTTCCTGCCTTTCAAAGATCCAGTGTAGAAGGCAGAGCGATGAATAGTAAGGTCCCCCCCACACACACACACACATGCGTACGCACACGCACAAACCTCCAGTGAGTCTACTTTGTTGAGAGTCAACTTCTTGATCATTCAGTTTCCTCTTGTGTAAGCTTTAACCTCTTGTTTTATATAAAAGCTAACCTTTTTTATAAACCCATAGCCCAGTGGTTTCTTTCTCACTGTGGGCAAAAAGCAGGGATTCACAGCCCGAGGCTCATCATGTGTCATTGTCACCTCCAGCCTCACTGCTTTTTTGTGTCTACACTGGGGACTCCCCACAGGGTCCAAATGACACATCAGCAGAACTCTTAGGAACCGGACTCAGACCCCTCCCTAAGATGAGGGAATATAAAACTAAGCTATGCAAGCACCATTGTAGTCCCTCACTTCCTCATCAAAAAGGCCAAGCTCCAGGTGACGAGATTGTAAAGGGAGAGTGGTCTGGGACATGAGACCCTAACCCTGTCTGATTTGTCCTTTCATTAATTCATTGTTTTGGATTGTTTCTACTAAGGTATCCCTGGCTAGCCTGGAGCCAGCTGTATAGACCAGGCTGCCTTCAAATTTGTAGTCACATTCTCAGCTTTGCCTTGACAATGCTGGAATTCCAGGTGTAAGCCCGCATGCCCAGCCCTGACCTCTTCTCTCCTTCCTTGCTCCCTCCCTCCCTCCCCCCTTCTTCTCACTCTTCCCCCCACCCAGCCCCTGTCTCATGTTTTGATAGAGTCTCTAATCCAGGCTGAGAATGACCTTGATCTTTCCATCCTCCTGCCTCTAACTCCATAGTACTGAAGATGTTGTGAGCCACCACACTCAGTTGCCCAGTTTATGTGGTGCTGGGGATTGAACTCAGGCCTTCAGGCATAGGCAAGTAGTCTGTCAACTGAGTTTCATCCACAGACCTTGACTTGTTTTCTTTTTTCTTTTCTTTTCTTTCTTTTTTTTTTGGTTTTTTTTTTTTTAAGAATTTATTTTTAAGAATTTATTTATTGTGTATACAATATTCTGCTTCCATGTATATCTGCACACCAGAAGAGGGCACCAGATCTCATAACGGATGGTTGTGAGCCACCATGTGGTTGCTGGGAATTGAACTCAGGACCTCTGGAAGAGCAGTCAGTGCTCTTAACCACTGAGCCATCTCTCCAGCCCTTTTTTTTTTTTTTTTTTTTTGGTTTTTCAAGACAGGGTTTCTCTGTGTAGCTTTGGAGCCTATCCTAGCACTCGCCTATCCCAGCACTTGCTCTGGAGACCAGGCTGGCCTCAAACTCACAGAGATCCGCCTGCCTCTGCCTCCCGAGTGCTGGGATTAGACTTGTTTTCTTTATGCAAGCACATGCTTATTCATTTGTTCGCCCATCCAGTTACTAACATTTTACCGAGTGTTTTCTATGTGCTGGGCCTATAGAGTCACACAAACGTGAATGAGGCCTGGATGGGCCTCGGGAGTTCACGGGCCTGTAGAGAGACATGCAAACAGACTGTGGGGGCTTTGAGGAAAGAATGCAAGAGAGAGAGGCAGTAGGTGCATGTAGGAACGAGTCATTTGTCAGGGTCACTGAAAGGACATCCTGGGAACAATGTGCAAGGGATATCACAAAGTGCATGCCTGGCTGAGGAGGCAGCCTGAGCAGAGGCAGGGAGTTAGAAAAGAACCTGGAGCAGTCAGCTGCCATTGCTGTGGCCAGGAGAAAGGTATGATGGGAAGGCAAACACCCTTCAGTGTTAAGCCCAGGAGCCTGGGCTGAATACAGGGCGGAGTTTCTGCTGGCTCTAAGAAAGTAGTGTGAAGTGTGATCACAGACAGGAGGCCAGGCAAGCTGTGTTCCCACGATTCAAGGGCCTCCACAAAAAGAAACATTCTATTGTCCTATGTCTGTCCAAACCCAAGCATCTGGGTAAGGCAGCTCATAAAAGAGATCCAAGGGTGGCCAGAGAGATGGCAGGGTGGGTAAGAGATGTGTCACTCTTGTAGAGGACCTAACCCACACGGTGGTTCACAGCTGTCTGTAACTCCAGTCCCAAGATATCTGATGTCCTCTTCTGGCACACACATACATACAGGTAAAACACTCGTCCACATAAAATAATAAAATAAACCTCAAAAACATTTTAAGTAAGAGATAGCTCCAGGGGGGTTGGGAGAAGCCTCAATCCTAGAGTACATGCTTAATGTTCACAAGGTCCAGAGTACAGTCCCTGTTACAAAACAGACTTGGTGGGGCCCACACTAAAGCTCTAGAAATGTGTGCACTGGCTCCCACCCTCTGGATGACACAGTATTCTGTGGTTGAGTACGCCTTAGAACCCTCCTCTTCTCCTCCCAAAGGCCTCCCAGGCCTCTTTGCCTCTCACCTCCTGGGACCTGCGGTTATTAAAATCCTAGATTCCAAGGAAGCTCAAGTCAAGCCACTGCACCTCACAGCGGGAGCTCAGGGCCCTTAGGAAGGCTTCTTTCTACCTGACTCCAGTCACTAAGAGAAACAATTGAAACTGCATTCATTGTGGTGCTTGCTGAGCTGGGGCATTCAGCAGGTTGAGTCAGATGCATCTTCACAAGATGTTTTCAGTTTGCATTGAGTTTACCAGGACTCAATCCTCTAAACCCATCATAGGTTGTGGGGTATCGGTCGATGCTGTGATAGTTTTAAATTATGAGCAATAGAGGAAGTCTGCTAATGAACAACCCAAGTTAACAGTGTCTTTAAAAAGAAACTTGGGTGAGGGTAATAGCTCAGTTGGTAAAATACTTGCTTGCAAGCATGAGGTCCTGAGTTCAATCCCAGCACATACATAAAAAAAAAAAAAAAAAAAAAAAACCAGCATAGTGGTATATCTTATAAACTCAGCATTGAGGAAGTACAGGCAGGTGGGACTACCTAACCAAATCAGTGAGTTCAAGGAAAGTGAGAGATCCTGTCTCAAAAAAAAAAGGTAGATAGTGTCCTGGGAAATTATACTTGATGTTGACCTCTGTCCTCTACATACATGCACACATGTGTACATGAGTGTCTACACACATGCAAACACAAGTGCACACACAGACACACACACACACACAAACAAACACACACACACACACCAGGGAAAACTGTTGGTTTTGGGGTCTGTTCCCATTACGGATGTTTCCATCCTGTGATCTCATGGGACTAAGACAACAACCTGTTAAAATAAGGCCCAGGAGATCTGTGACTCAAGCAGGGTCACACAGCTTGTGGGTAGAGGACTGGGTTCTGGGCAGGTCCAGGTTTTCCAGCAGGAGGAGGAGGGCTGCTACTCCAGGAAGGGAAAGAGAAACAAAATACAAAGGTCAAAGGAGAGAAGTGAGAGGCAGCTAACCCTCAGGTAAGGAGGGAAAAGAGTGAGGGAGAAGAGGGGACCTCAGACAGCTGGGCGTCAGAAGGTGAGTGGGTCTCAGAGAAGGAAGCACACCCCAGCCCCCTCCTCTCCAGCAGAGAGGGTCCTGGACTTTTTGAAGGTCACCAGGTGCTCTTGCCCGACTCATTCTTGGCAGGAAATTGGTTTGGAACCAAAAATGTTGGGACCTCCAGGGAATAAAAAAGAAAACAAAGTTTTAAATTGTTTTTATTTTGAGTTTGTAATGCAGACATATGGTATAGACTTGAAATGGCACACCCCAG